TCGGAGCCAAACATCAAAACACGACTCACGCCGGAGGAGCCGCCGTACCCGAAAGCACTGCCGTCGATAAGTCTCGATTTTTCGTGATTTTTTGGCCCAGCGAGTTCCCTAGGGTTGTTTTATCGCAGGGACCAATGCAAGTGTGATTGGATGATTGAGATTAAGGAAAAAGGCAAAAAGGTTATGTGAATTGATAAGTGGAAAGTGTGGACAGCCTGACTAGATATCCTTGGGAGATGGTGGACGGACCGGGTCCGTAGGGAACCCTACCGGGAACGTGGTCTCTCATACCGGACAGGGTATGGAGACCTTATGTATTTTGGCGCCCATACGGGACGGGTATGGGGACGGCCCGTTTCACCCTCATACCGGACGAAGTATTGAGGTTCATGGTTTTTTGCGCCCATACCAGACGGAGTATGGAGACGGCCCTAGAATCAGGTTGTAAATGTTAATGGTTCACGTGTAGCGGTGACCCCCACTAGATCCCCAGGGATACTAGTAGGCTGGTAAAAGAGGAAATCTGTTTTCTGATGATTGAAATGTAAAGGTATGATATGTGTTATGTTATAAAGTGTGTATGATTTCATGATATTATAAGGTTATTGTTTTTATATGTTATTTTCATGGATCTCACCGAGATAAGTGGACAGTAAAGGTTTTTATGTTAATAAACGAGTTCGTTATAAATTATTCTCTATTGGTCATTTTTGTTTTCTATCCACCTTTACTTCCGTAGCGGTGAGATAATGTGATGTCTTTACTGGGTTGATGTAGCTCATCCCTTATTTAACCATTTCAGATCAGGAAAACGTTGTTCCCGAACCCGTTCCGCAGGAAGACGGCGAAGGGGACGCCTAAAGACTTTATAGTTATATTTATAATTTTTATTTCGATTATTTTTTTTAGTTAGTTTGTTCCTTCATGTTTTGAGTACGTTTTGGTTATTGCGTAAGGAATGTTAATCAAAATTTTTATTACGCTTCCGCATTTAAAATTTTTAATACATATATTTTATTTAAATTTTCAGTACCATTACATAAAATTTATAAACTAATTAAATAAGAGATATTTTAGATTATCTTTGTGAATTATGAGTGGATTACACAGCTTATTTCAATCTATGTATAAAAAAATAATGTGCTTATCATATGCAAATAAATGGATTTAAAGAAAATCTAAACACCTCTCTTTAACTTTTTTTTTATTTAATGACTTACAATTCTTTTTTTCTCAGCATTTTTAGTTTCTCATGCCCTTACATTTTAATCTTTTGAAAAGCTTATGAACTCAATTCAACCAATATCCATGACTTTCTAGAACTGCATTAAGTTATTGGTGACCATATCAGTATAGGTCTTCCTACCATACAAAAAACTCTTATCGGTATCCACAGTTTACACTAGGTTCCATGTAGCCCGAAAAACAACCCATTTCCTTGATGTCAAGTCCCAGTCACTCTTCCTAATCTGAACATGAGCTAAACCATGTTAGGCCTCTGCGGAAGCAGAAGATTGTAAAATTTATCATGTAAGAAGAAGCTCTTTCCCGAGCTATCAATCGCCTTTTTCCATCCACACCATCCACCATTTATAATTTTCTTGAGATCTTCAGTGCCTTTATAATGGGGATCAAGTATAAGAAAAGCGCAATCTCCACTTGTTTCATTAAAATCGACTCCCAAAAGTGTATATGCAAGAACACCACCACCTGCATTAACACCAACCAGTGAGCAGTTAGTTCATGCTAAATGAGAATCCATTCCAAAGGAGCTAAACAGAACTCTTTTAGGAGTTGAGGGAAAAATGCACTCATCAGCGGGTATGATGAATCTGATTTTGCACTATCTTTTGTCAAGAGATGCAACAGCTAAATCATAATAATGGCAGTTCATCTATCTTACCAATCATAATGGGTGTTCCTTGATTCTCAAAGTGTAAGGATAACTCTCGACATTTTTCAGGTAGCTCGGATCCAGATCTAACATTCATGATTTTGCAACTGACCTGCTCAAGAAAGATCTTTCAAGTTGATTGAAACTGATAATCCATCCTATATTCTAGTCCATAAATATGTGGATTAGAATATTTACAGGATTTCTTATGGCATACTTACACCAAGAAGCTTATCCAAAACAAAGCTCAGCTCAATGGCGCCAATCCATTCACGTGAGCCAATAAAAGAAGAATCCTTGTCACCAATATCTACAAGGCACTGTTGAATTTCACTAAGAAAAAGCACTTCTATCAGATTTAATCACATCAAGATGGTCACAAATTGGAGGATTCTACTTCCAGTTTGGATTTATGACATAAGGACTAAGGAAAAAAGGTGGATGGTGAGATAACAAAGCTTGACCTAATTCAGAAGCCTAGAAAGAAAAACAAAACTTAAACTTTGGCATCCTTTTGGCAATGGTATTGTCTTACCCATGTGAAGGAACATCGACAGATGTGTAATGTTGAAGTCTGAACCATGAAATAATAGTTTGGAGAGAACGATAAGCACACCCCCAACCCTGGCAACAATTACATAAAGATGTCAGTACGTGAAATTGATACTACCTATGTTTTTTTTTTTTTGAAGAGATACTATCTATGTATTCATGATCCAAAAATCTTGTGACTAACGTAGCTTCATTTCAAGCAAAAAAAACATATAGCAAACAGCATTTATAAGCCTTTCCTATTGTATTGAGAAACTCAGTCGGAATATAAAAGCTGCTTTATGTATCTATGGCATGCGAATGCAACTAGGAATGTAACTAGGACGGACATGCGCATTATCTCAATAACCCTTAGGACATTTTAATTTCTGAACAAATGAATCGAGTTGATACCGACTAGAATTGGATCCACAATCTAGTTTCTGCAACTTCTAGTAACTAAATAAAGGGCTAGACGATGCTCCAATTGTAACATCAAGAACTAGAAATTTGATCCAAAATAATTTAATATTAATAAAAATAATTAATTAAAATAATTTAAATTTAAATTTTTATAAATTTTTTATAAAAATTGAGTTTTTGATGCATTTAAAAATATTTTCGAAAATCATAGTTAAAATAGAAATAAAAGAGAACTTATTTAAAAAAAATCTAAAAAATTGAAGTAAAAATAGAATTTTTAAAAATTTGGCCACATGGACCGTCACGTCAGCAGTGCGGCCAGTCTCCATGCGGCGCGTAGCAAACACGTGCACATCCATGTGGGAGGCCACATGGGCGATTTGTGTGCCAACGAATCCAACGGCGTAGATCATATTTCGCGTGCACGGGCAACCCAGATCCTTTTCCTCTTCAGACGCGATCGGACGACTGGATTTGATTGCGATGGACAGTTCAGATTTGCACACGGATCGGCCTAAACGGGTTTCGAATCGAACGACTCTCCTTACTCCATGTTGACGCGAATGGACGGCCAGGATCAGGGAAAAAGAGATATTTAAACCTCTCTTCAGTTGGCTCCCAAAACCCTAACCGACACCCTTGACCGGAGAAGAAGAAGGGCAGCCGGAGGAAAGCTTAGCCACCGGAGGGACATCGTCGCCGCCGCAGCGGAGCCACTGTCGACGCTGAAGAGGTAAAATTTTTTCCCTTTCCGCTCAGAATTGAATTCCGAACCTCCCCACACCCGTATCGGAACCGAAAAGCCGACAAGTGAGCCGAAAAATGCGAGCAAAGCTCGGCCGAGCTGCAAGCCGAAACCCCCTCCGATGAACTTCTCCCCGTTTTCTGTTTTTTTTTTTTTTTAATTTTTTGACCATTATGTTCCTCATTTCTTTCTGGTGCAAATTAGCCCAAAGAAAAATCCTGACCGTAAAAAAGGAATGCACTGGGAGACCCCTCTGTCGGTGGATCTCGGTTTTCCCTTTTTTCCAGCTGACAAAGGCTCTCTAACCTTGTTTTTTGCAGGTTTCCATGCAAAACTGACCAAAAACGGCCAAACCGAGAGGAACCACTATCGTGGACGACGGAGTCGGCACTGGACCACAGCGGTGTTGCCGTGACAAAATCCTAACCCGGGCGGAAAAATTTAAAAACACTTATTTTGGCATTTTTGAGGTATTTTTGAATATGTGATGCGTATTTTTTATTTCCACAAGAAAAACTCAGAAAACTCGGGAACTGGCAGGAGGTGCAGTGAAAAGAACGGTGTTTTAAACACCGATTTGGAGTAAGAATCTCTCACTATTTTCTCCCGTTACGGTAATTAAAGTCTAATAATCAATAAACAGTGTGTTTTGTAACAAATAGAAATCTCTAAATTAATTACAGGTCACCAGTGGAACCGGGGAACCGATCAGTGCATTTTTACCATAACTTGATTGTTTATTTTCTTCTATATTGCCTAAAATGCTTACTGTTACATCGTGTGCTTTAATTTACTAATTTTAATTGTTTTCTCGTTTATTTAGTTTATTTACCTGTGTTGTCCTATCTGTTGATTGGTTTGCAATAAATGTCTTGATCATGTCTCTCTTAATTGTTAATCTATTAATTTATACTACTTGTGTAATTATTACTCTATTGTTCTATAAATATGAAATGAGTTGGTTGCGTGTGATTGGTGGCTGGTGAATGATGTGAATATGTATCCTAAAAGGCTTATCGGATACCCTAGGTATGGGTTTATGGACCCAGTGCATAGGAAAATCCTACCGTGGACGTTATCTCAGTCAAACGAAACTGAAAAGTTCCATATCGGAAGAAGTTGAGAGGTATAGATTCAGCCTCATATCGGACAGAGTATCGAGGAGGTGGTATGTTTGGCGTCTATTATTGGACGGGATATGGAAACGGCCAGTTGATTGATAATTGGATATTGGGTTCACGCATAGAAGGATATCTTTATGAACTCCCAGAGCTACTGGTAAGCAGGTAAGGAAGTAAGTTTATTGTTATTGTTCCTTTAAATGTGCAATAAAATATTATTCGAGTTATTGTTTTCATAAGTCGATTTTGAAAACTTATAAGGATAAGTATGAAATAACGGTTTTTAAGTTAAATGAATTTAGTAAAAAAAAAAACTAAAGACTTTATTGGTTGTTTGACAATTTTTACCAATTTTTAGTTTTCCGTATCGGTGTTAAGTGTGATATTCTTACTAGTGTAGTATAGTTCATCCCTTTTATTTAACAATTTCAGATCAAGAAGACAGAGATCCAGATCCTGAACACCAAAAAGGTTATGAATAAAAGTTGCCTCCTGATCCCCATCAGAGTTGTCCAGCAGAGGTTAACCCTAAACTCTTAATTGCTTCCGCCATTATTTTACTAATACAATATATATTCATTTCTTGAAAGTTTTGGATCTTTACAGTTGGTATCAGAACCGCATTCCTCGGAACCATTCATTTCACAAAGATTTGAATCATTTAAATACAATCCGACACTCAACCATTTCTTATGAAATGCAGGTGCAAAAATATGAGAAGAAGACCCAACTAAATCGAATAGCCCGGGATGGGTGGCTTCGAGAGGATGTCGATCGACTCTTCGAGATGCTGAAGAGACTTATCTCTACCCAGCAGGCCCAGGAAGAGAAGGAGCTGTCTGACCCTCCACCATTGCCACAGTATCAGCCACCCCTGCAACGAGAAGATCCAATGTCATCCCGATACAACCCTGCTCCACCGTATCATTCGGCATCGACACAGTATAATCTGGTGCCCCCACCATACAACCCAAGTACCGCCACAGGACCACTCGGCTCCTCCCCAGCATAATCCAGTCCCTCTTCAACGGGACCTAATTCCGCCCATAATGGACTCAGACTACATTGAGAGGTATAAGAGATTTAACCCATCTACCTTTACAGGGGCATCCTTCTTCGAAGAGACCGAGTACTGGTTAGTAGAGACAAATAAGGTCTTCGCGACTCTTAAGGTGATTCCCGAACAAAATGTCGTACTTCCCACCTACATGCTCGTAGGTGAGGCAGGTCGCTGGTGGCAGCTGAAGCAAGCCACCATGCCTATTCCAGTCACTTGAAAACAATTCCTGGTAGCTTTTAATATAGAGTACCTCCCATAACATTTTCGACATTTTAAAAAAATAGAGTTTGCACACTTGATCCAAGATGAGATGACAGTGTCTGAGTATGCCCGAAAATTCTTGAAGTTTGGCCGGTATTCTCCTGAGAGCATGATGGATGAAGACAGAAAGGTAAGGAAGTTTGAGTGGGGCCTCCATCCTGAAATCAGACAACAACTGTATATATTCGAACTCAGCACCTACTCAGTAGTTCTCGCCAAGACACGGCTAATAGAGAAGAACCTTCGTATCTTCCCTCCAGCAGTGGACAATTCCAGAGCCCCAGTTCCACACCGCAGGCTAGCACCTACTTACTGATTCAGCAAAACAAAAGATCTAGGCTTGCAACTCAAACTCATTTTCAAGCTCCGGTAACAGAATATGGTATGACTTGCCAACATTGTGGCAAGGATCATGAGGACCGACCCTGCTATTGCCTCAACAATACCTGTCGCATATGTGGAAGTGTCAAGTACTACGCAAGAGAGTGTCCGTGAAATCAGAATCAGGCCAGACCTCCAATTTAGGGCAGAGCCTACACCTTCACCCAACAGCATGCTAAAGCCAACCCGAACGTGATATAGAATACGTACACTATCTATAATCATCTTGCACATGTTTTGATTGATACTAGTGCTTCACATTCCTTTGTTTCATATGCTTTTGTCAAAAAATTGAATGTGTTACCTGAAAATCTTAATTCTGTACTATTTGTGTCTACTCCTAGAAATGTAACACTACTAGAAGATATCATATACAAAACTTATATCATAGAAATATCATATAGAAAATTGAGTGTGGACATGATAGCACTAGACACGGGGGGATTTTGATGTAATTTCGATTATGAATTAGTTATCGGCATATTACGCCACCGTATATTGTTTTCATAAGAAATTTGTGTTCAATCTTCCTAACGAAAAGTCATTCATAAATTAATAAAAGTTTTAAATATTATTCTCTCATGGTAATTGCATTGTTTATATAATGATTTAACTCAGTTGTCATTTTCTACATTAGACAAACCTAAGCAAGAAATTTGCATTCAAGAAATTCCTGTAATCCGAGAATTCTTGAATGTATTTACTGATGAACTATCCGGACTGCCGATGAATAGGGAAGTTGAATTTACCATGAATCTTCAGTCTGGCACCCAACCCATTTCAGTTGCCCATTACCGTATGAGTCGTGTGAAGATGGAAAAACTGAGAAAACAGATCAAATAATTGCAGGATAGTGGGTTCATCCGACACAGTATATCTCTTTAGGGTGCTGGAATCACATTTACAAGAAAATTGAATGGGTTCCTGAGTTACAGAATACTCAGATTTTCTCCAAAATTGATTTGCGTTCGGGTTATCATCAAGTAAAGATCAGGGTAAAGGATGTTCTCAAAACGACCTTCAGAACCCGATACGGGTATTATGAGTTCCTGGTCATACTATTTGTGTTAACTAATGCACCAGCCATTTTTATGGACTTGAT